CATACCAGAGAAAAAGTTTCCAACGCAAAATTATAGTTTATATCAGTGGTGCAGGGGTCCTTAATGACGAGACCTGGTCATGAATGAAATACAAATGTATCATACCCTTCTGTGACCGTCGTACTACATCATTTTAGAAATTTTGCAATAATATGAGATATGCCTATTGAAAGATTTCCGAACTCTAATGACTTAATTTTAATGATATGAAACATGCATTGATCGCTATCCTAATAGCATTGATTCACGCTAGTGTTGACCTTGTATTACACACATCGCCGTGGTTACTCCATGGGGACGATTCAGTGTAATCTATCATGACCAATCAGAACTACACGATCAATCCTGCTGACCTCAATCAAGATGTTGTATGACTATTAATGTAAAACAAGGGCAGACAACTTGGAGCTTGATTGATGTACCACACAATCTGGGGGACAGAATTGAGGAGTTCTCTAGCTGGGGGACAAATGTGTCTCTGAATTTTCAATATGATTTCTGATAATTCAGTAGAAAAGGTTTCAAGTGACACTGACAATGACACCAACAAGATGAAAGTGACGCTGTCGATCGACAACCATTAATTAATGACCAATTGTGAAGAGGTTGCGAGGGAACAAAGCAAGCACGACAATAAACTGTTGGCAGAAATGTAACATTCAGTGATGTAATTAAAAAGCGTCACAATTCTGACAGAACATCAGGACAAAAACGGGTGTTAAAGAACATGATATATTAAGGATAATGTGGTTGCTTAGGAACATAAATTAAATAGTAACAAATGAGGTGCAAGGGAACATGATAATTAGGATAAACATGATTAAGAAGGAACATAGCATAAACCACCTTAAAGCAGGATATTTCTGTGGGGGATGATATTTCCGTGGAGAGAATATTTTTGTGGGGATGATACTTTTGTGGAAACAAATTAAGACCCGCAAACAAGCATAAAAACGAGTCTCGATAATAAACTTCAAAATCTTGATGTTGTCGTGAAATAGCAAGTATGTGGTTGTAATGATTCTTTTATATCAAGAGTAATACAAGATGTTTGAAAACAGATTATATCACACATGTAATAGTTGTGTTGATGATTTGTTGAACAGAATACACTTACTTGTTGTTGCTCAATATGGGTCAAAATTATCAAAATTTAAGCCCATGTCAATAACCTGTTATACGGTATGACAAATGATGTTGCTAAGAAAAAGAACATATTCAGGATAAAAGCAGCTAGTTGCTAAGGAACATAAACGAAATTGGAGCAAATGAGGTTGTTAAGGAATATGACAAATTTTGACAAATATGGTTGCTTGTGAATATAACATAAATGGAGTTATTCCTAAGGAACATAAGTTACTGTGACAACGGACATTACTAAGGAACATAAATTACTGTGACAACGGACATTCATAAGGAACATAAATTACTGTGACAACGGACATTCCTAAGGAACATAAATTACTGTGACAATGGACAATCCTAAGGAACATGAATTACTGTGACAACGGACATTCCTAAGGAACATAAATTACTGTGACAACGGACGTTCCTAAGGAAACATAAATTACTGTGACAATCCTAAGGAACATAAACTAGAACACTGACAGGTCAGTAAGGGCCCCGTCTTGTGGCAATATATCCCCCATAATCATCAAGAAGCAATCTGCCCATAAAGCTGAGCTTGACATTTGACATTTGGACTTCAAAAAGAATAACAAGGAAGCGAAATATATATTTACATGTACTATGATGTGTGTCTTGTTTCCGTCCACCTCCATATTTGCTGGGCTAACAGAAATGTAAATACCAGTCCAATACTCATTTGTTAGCTTTGATTTGCTTTATTTCACCTTATACAGTACATTTCACCTAATATCACGTCCGTTAATGTCACTTTTCGGTTATTATCATGTTTTTTTGATGCACCGTTTTTCCTGCTATATAATCTATGCAATTCAATTCTTTTATTATCACCTGATTTTATGTCGATTTCTCTTAATATCACTTTATTTTGGCCACAGTCACCAAAAAAATACAGGTAAATTGCGGTAATGATTCATGATAAATGCCCCCGGGGACCTTCTGTCACACCTGGACGTGTTATGTAAACAACGCCGCGCCCTAACGGGGTATTTGTTACACCTGACTGACTGTCAAACAATAGGTTGACCTTACATACTTGTTAACAGGATATTCACCTGTGGTTGGGGGAGCCAGGACAGTCTTACATCTGTAAACTTTTCTAATTCCAAGTGTGATGTAATCTTTCAACTAACATGTGTACTATCATCACAGACAGCTCGTCTCCAGATTGAATTTACGTTGTCGTGAAGTAGGCATACAAGTGGATGGTCTTCCGTAAAATATGACGAATGCTGATTGAGATTAAAATAAAGATTGTCTTTCAAACAATAAGTTTCTTAAACTATTTAAGTTTGACCAAGGTTCACGTACAATACGAAAAAATCGTCTTTGTTTTGAATCTCAAATAACACACGTACGACACCGACATGGTGTTGTCGTAATTCTACCGTATGCTGCTGGTGTAAAATCGTGATCTAGCTGCGAGAATTTATTCATTGCAAAATTATGACCTATGTTTAATTACACTTTCCAAATGTCGATGTAATAAAGAGATTACCTTTTGTGTTATCATTTATTGTTCAAATTATCGTAACAGGAGGTTACATTTTTCACTTCCCTCGTTTACGGCTGGTTTAACCCGATTTCATAACACGGCATCTGATTGCCTGGTGTTCTTATTTGCATATTGAGGTCATCCAATGAAATGCTACATTTCAAAGGTAAAAGGTCACCATACGATAGCTAGACAAACTCGCAGAAAACGATGTCACACTTGCAGCAAATATCTGAAGAAATTAAACTATAAAAAGATGTTACTAGCAAAAGAGCAGTATATATATCAAGATAAATGTAAATATTTACCAAGTATCATATTTACAATTGAATTTGATGCAGAATACCAGCCAAACACTTATATGCCTTCATCACTACTGCAGTAAATAATCATAATTACGATCGTACTGATCGTCATTTTGCTATATATGAAATGTAACTGCATACTGAAATAAATTAAAAAGAATATATTTATTTCTATACTTATTTACGTATACTATATTTCAACTAGAGTAAAGAACAAGGTTAGTTGCAAAATATCTTTATTTCACAATCTTCTTCAATTCGTAGAGCCACACCACTTAGGCTTTTGACTATGTTCACTTCCGGTTTTGAGGGCTGAAAAACGTCAGAAAATATGTATTCTGTTTATGTCATGTTTCGGTTAATATCATGTTTTTCGCTGACAAATGAGAAGTGATATTAAGCGAAATCTACTGTATACCTTCTCCATCAAGAGCCAGGGTCAAATCCAGAGATCCACTTTGTCTTTGACCTTTAGACCCAAATGACCTTGACCATTAACCCAGTGACCCTGATCTTTGGTCAGTTCACTTATTCTTTAATTCAGACCAACTTTACTTCTTAATATCATAACAAAATGTTAATCAGTGAAAAATACAAAACTTGACCTTGACCCTTTGGACCCCGTGACCTGGACCTAAGGTCAGTTGACTCTGTGTTAAGTTCTGAACAACATTGCTTCATAATGTCATAACAAAATGTTCATCAGGGAAAAGGTACAAAATTTAACCTTCACATTGACCCAGTGACCTTGACCTTTGGTGAATTGACTCCTTGCTTCATTCTGATCAACTTTGCTTCATCATGTCATAACAAAATGTTCATCAGTGAAAAGATGCAAAATTTGACCTTGACCTTTGAATCTAATGACCTTGACCTTTGACCTCGACTTTTTACCTCAGTGTGTCTCTTTGTTTAATTCCGAACAACTTTGCTTCATAATGTCATAGCGAAATGTTCACCAGTGAAAAGCTACAAAATTTGACCTTGACCCCTGACCCGATGACCTTGACCTTAGGTCAGTTGACTCCTTGTTTAATTCTGATCAACTTTGCTTCATAATGTCATAACGAAATGTTCATCAGTGAAAAGATGTAAAATTTGACCTTGACCTTTGAACCCAATGACATTGACCTTTGACCTTGACTTTTTACCTCAATGTGTATTTTTGTAAACTGAACATCTTGACCAAGTTTCATCTACATCGGTCAATAGATACCAAAGTTATCAGCCAGGAACAAAATTTGTGGACAGACAGACAGACAGACAGACAGACAGAGTGATTACTATAGGGCACCCGTATCTCCGATACGGGGCCCTAATTACTGTGACAATCCTAAGGAAACATGAATTACTGTGACAACGGTCATTCCTAAGGAACATCATAAATACAAGAGGTTATATTTACTAAAGAGTATCACATGAAAGGTCAAGGTAACAGATATTTCCCATAAACAATTACTGTATACAGAGAAATTTTCACTGCAGTTTAACATCAGCATCTTTCGCCCTCCCTAACGAGGGTTAATTTATCATCACAGCAAACAGTATCGAACATTAAAGGGGCCAAATTTTCCCAAATGGCAACATTCTGTGATAGACATATTTCTTTGCAGTATAAGTCATATAACAATGCATATTTAATATTTCCATGCAATGGTAATTGTTTGAAGATGTATTTCAAGACTAATGGACAAGTGAGGACTTTACTTTTAATTGTCAAAGGTTTAAAGTCCTGTGTTTCACACAGTCAAGATAACTAGAAAAATAAAGTCTAGACTTATCCTCACTCTTTGTCAAGTCAAGAATTCATAATTTCTCAAAAGCTCTTTGGAATGTAGTATTATATATCACATCACTGAATTTCACTTTTGGTTATCATCATGGTTTCTTGTAATGTATTTGTTCCCTGCTACATCAGGAAGGTTTTCATATTTTGTTACTGTGTTTGCTTCGGCACAATGTGTATGCCACATATAGGCATCTTGGTATCAGATAAATTGTCTATGAAAATAATAATTATATGCAACAAGTTTTACCATAGCTGATTTGCATAGCTTCGTCATCAGAGACACAGAAAGCTTCGTCATCAGAGACACAGAAAGCTGCGTCGTCAGAGACACAGAAAGCTTTGTCATCAGAAACACAGAAAGCTGCGTCATCAGAGACACAGAAAGCTGCGTCATCAGAGACACAGAAAGCTTCGTCATCAGAGACACAGAAAGCTTCGTCATCATGCAGAGACACAGAAAGCTTCGTTATCAGAGACACAGAAGAAAGAAGAATGAATATACAGAATAGTCACTATTCACATGATTCACTTTGAAACCTTACATACACCGAAATCTATTGATGGGCTTTATGCATTTATAAACATAATTGTCATGAAAACGAACCCAACGTGTTTGTTTATGAATGAGTTTAGCAATAATCATGTTTAAAACCGTGAAATGTCATCCCATTACCACCCCATTACTTAATCTATTAATCGAAAGAAACCACACACTGTGACAATGGAATAACGACCCATTACAGGCCTTCCCCAACAGTCTCCCAAGAGCATCTCAACACTCTTTCTGATCATTTCTACGATTTCATCTGTTCTAATCGTGTCAAATACAGAATTCATAGTCACACACAGAATAAAAATGGCTGACAAAGTGGCTTACATTATTTTTCATTTTGTTACCAGCAGTACTTCTTAAAGCATCAACAAAAATGTTCGCTTAATGATTCGTAATTACTGTGATGTTGACTGATGGGAAGCTACAGACAACTGTTGTTAGTCAAAAGGAAAGAAGATTCTTGTCTTATGCAAAATAAAAGGTCACTGGTAGCCATCGAAAACCACCTGGATATAACAATATTCAAAAATTCTTTTACTGAAGTCAAAATTGGTTATATCTGTGACACACTTTGACCAACAAATCATTTAATCAATTAAAATGAATTCCTACACACCAACAGGATGTCACATCTCACAGAAATTCCTACACACCAACAGGATGTCAAATCTCACAGAAATTCCTACACCCAAACAGGATATCAAATCTCACAGAAATTCATACACACCAACAGGATGTCAAATCTCATAGAAATTCCTACACACCAACAGGATGTCAAATCTGAAGTGTATCGTGTTATTTCAGCCCTCATGTAGATTGGTGACAAAATTTACATACCTTTTTTTTATATAAATACAAATACAACAATGCAGTTTTTAAAACTTAAAGGTGAACTTTTAAGGTCAACTTTTAAGGTGAAACAACCAGGAAAACAAAAACATGACACATAATAACAAAACCATTCCTACACCAAGGAAACATTTTGTTGAAAAAAAAAATGTTATCTACAATCTACAAACGAACACGAGAATTGTTTTCTTTGAAGATACATTTTTGTTTGTTATACAATCTTATTGATGCAGACATGACACAAACATTGAAAACAAATCTATCAAAGTGGAGGTGAAGTAAGGGTCAAGGTAATCAAACCTATTTACAAGACAGGGACAGTTAATGTCCAGTGACAGGGTCCTGAGATGGGTACAGGGGTATTTTATAGACCTCCATACAGAAAGGTAAAACACAAAGGGGCATGGGAGAGTAAACATATCAACATTCTGTGAATTAGTTTTTATTACCCAGTAAGTTGACAGGACCTAATGATCGTAGGCTAATATTTGTCACCCAAACTTGACCACTTCACCAAAGGTTATAGGTGTCAACCATCCTAATTCTCTTATCTCTTTGTAGAAAACCAATAAAGTGTATATGTTATTATTATACCTCATCTTTATAACAGTGTGTCTGATTGGATGATATACTGGTCACATGACAGGTTAATAAAACATCATGTCATCCTCACATGCTCAAGTTTACCGGTCATCATACACAGAGCCTCTCTAGTAAAATGAACAAGAGCTATCACAACCAAGTACCATATGACGAAAGCAGACAACAACATGGGCGCGTCAACCTCATCATCTCTACTATTGCCTTATTGTTTTTGATTGATAGATGTTTTTCAGCATAAAATATTTATTCATACATGCCATAACTTCCCAGTACAAAATAGTGAGATCAGTGATTATTTTTAGTGACATCTGGTCAAAAATAGTGAGATTTTTTCTCTGAATTAGTGAGAAATTTTTGAGACATTTAAAACATGAATTATATAGCATATAACATAGTATTGAATCATTTGTGTTATTCTGAAGCTTCTAATGACTTTGTTAGAGCAAAAATTGGAGATTTATTGACATTTTAAAGGATTTTAGGAAGAAAAGTAAATATATCACATAAAAGGCAAAAAATAAGAGTAATTAAAACAAGAAGGAATTCTAGTGGGATGTCCTTGTTAACCCAGGTTAGAAAAAAATATATCTCAAAACATTGGGAATATTTAATATCAATTTGTTGGAAAAAAAAGTAAACCAATAACTACTCTTCTTCTCCTTCAACATAAAGGATCAGACTCAAGGGTTTGAGGGTGGGAGGTGGCATTAAAAACAAATATTTTTGGTATTTTTCACTGTAAGATTTTTTAGAACTACTATTTTTATATATCCAAATCTGAAAAAAACTTGTTTTCTTCTGTTTATGTTATTTTCATTAACACTCAATCCCATCCTGACGGCAAGAGAATAAATTATGGATTTCAATGTCAGTGTACGGTTTCGATTTATTGCCCTTACTTATAAGGGAATCAGGATTTTCTGTTTCTCCTTGATTACAGTATCATCATGTTTTACTCAGGCTTCGCCTTCATACATAAATAAACGTATAATATCACCTTAAGTTAAAAAGCATTCCCAAAAGAAAACATTTTGTGAATGCTTTTTAACTTAAGGTTGAATGAGTGTATTGATAAACGGAAATAGGAAGTACATCCCTAGTTGAAAATCCAATTTAGGGAGACAGTATCACAATTTCCGCATATTCTAACGAGTCCATTGTTTGTTTATTATTGACAGAATCGTGTGTTCTCTCAATATTAAAGTATTTCAAAGCAATCCAGGCATTAATTTAGTTGGGTTTTTTTATCAATAAGTCACATGTGTCCATTTTTCTGTACTTCTGGAAACTGACTACCTATTTCACTACTGTTAAGTTTTTCAAGAAAGATAACTCTTGCATGCAATTACTATGTATATATGATTTTATTATAAAATGTCAATTTTTAATCGTTTATAGATAATTTATTTAACATAATTTCAGCATTCATTGAATTGATATACATAAAATCTAATATGGCAGTATCATTTTTATTGACATTATTTTTCAAAACATTGTGTCTTTCATTTTTTTTCAAAATTCACTCCTTTTTACATAAATTTCCATACAAAATCCTTAAAATTCTGACAACCTATATTTTTTTGTGACAGAAATTTTTCTTTGATACTTCAAAGCAATATATTTACATTTGCATGGCATTGTCACTATATAGCCTCTTTGAAAGCTGTGTCGTTGATAGGACTTTAATTACCATGCATCACGAGACACAATTCTTAGCGTATTAATACAACACTGACCGGAACTACAATATCCAATATAAATAAGCATGACGGCTGCTGAAATATCGCTGAGCATTGTGAGATTTGACAATGTCATTGTAAATTTATGTGCAAAATAAAAAATAAAATAAAAAACACATTTATTACAACGAAAACAAGACCAAGGTCTGCAATATCGTACAAAATGCACATTGGTTGAAATCACCATTGCTGGCAATGGAAAAATATTTAACGCTCATGTAATTTATCAGAAATATCGTCTGTTACACTGCACTGATCAACAGGGGTTCGTTAAAAATGTCTGAAATACACATATTCTATAGACCTACTGACACATATGTTACAGACCTACTGATATGAGTCACAGCACACATACACATTTCAGACATTTGTAATGAACCTGTGCTCCGTCGCAAGATCACTCACTTCAAACGCTATCAGTTTCACGCGCCTCGCATCCACGGTGCCTCGGTTTCTGACGACATGTCAAATAACGAGTCTGTTATAGAATCATACCGACTGTTGTCAGGTTCCCATACAATCAACAAATAAATTCACGCCTGGATTCTTCACAAAATGAGCAAAGAGAAAGTTTGAATTAACTTCCAAAAATAACTCCCTCATGGAGGGCAAGGTCGGATTTATGGTGTTCACTGTATTTGTCCATGCGCAAAATTTGTTCTGGGGAAAAATTGAAACAATTTCAAATCTTACTTTCAGCTCAGAGTTCTTTTGATGAACTTAAATCACCCTATAGACACATCATACTTAATTGTATTGATACTGAATTGTGGAATAAAATTGAAGTGTTTGTTAAAATTTCAAAATACTTCTTTGTTTGCCAATCAGCACGCGACAATACGCTGTTCAACCTATTGAACGAAATTGTGTGGACTGTCGATAAGGCGGGCATTTTTAATTTTAAATATAAATTATAAGTTAAAAAAGAACATAAGAGGCAGAGAAAACGTAAATATTAGTATTGAACTGTTTTTGTATGGTATTTATGTTCTATATGAATGACACAACTTTGGAAGCAAACAAATCATAATGTGCTAGTGCGCATTATGTTGTTTGCTTGCAAAGCTGTGTCATTCATATAGATCATAAATACCATACAAAAACAGTTCAATGCTGAAATAACCACAAAATTTGAATAAATTCTACAGAGAAATGGTGACACAAACCTATACCTTAATTGGGGATGTATACATTTTTTGCTGCCATTATAGCTTCTGGTGCTGGAGTAATCTTTGTCCATTTTTAACAGTCGGTGGATGATTTTTTTATAATTGTGGATTAATTTGGACATTTAGTTATTACTAAAAATTCAAACTTCTAGCGATGTTAACACTGTAGTAATCTTAGTTATGTATCCTTGATCAATTGGATGGTAAAATATTTCTATACATCAACAAAGAGCACCTGTCAATAGGATTGTAATTGGACCTTTTATTTCTGTGAACAATATCACTATAGAAGTCCCTATGGTGCATAATGACCTCAAAGCGAAATAGGAAACAACGGTTTAATAAAACGGTTAGAAAACCATTACCACACAATTACAATTCCATCAAAGATCTCTGATATGATCTTATTATCAAAATTGAAAAAATAAATTCATGTTAAAATGATGACGTGGAAAAAAACCTGAGCAGAAATTAATGATTTTAGCAAAAATTGTTGTATTGAATGGGAATCATTGGGGACAAGAGGCCAATGGGGCTTTATGGTCACCAACCTTTATTATTTGTATACTCTACTATTTATCACTCACTCAATTGTGTTAACAGACATAAGTTACTTTTAGA